ATATAGCTCCCACATAGTTTTTCCCAACTAGCCCCCATAGTTTTTCCCATCTAGCCCTCATCTAGTTTTTCCCATCTAGTTTTTCTAGTTTTACCTTTGTAAATCTGTTTAGATGAATCTAAATTAGATTTTTTATCGATATTTCTCGCTGCGAAGGGATGCGTCGCTGCGTTCCGAATCGCACTAATTACTGCAGAAACAAAGGATCCACTTTTCGGACTTGGGGTACGTTCCTTCAAGCTTTGCTTAGAGCTAACTGGACTAGACTCCACGCTACTGTTACTTCTACTGTATGCTTCATTATGATATATGACATCCTTTTTAGGAAAGAATTACGATAGATATTAAATACTTCTCCATAAAAAATTTCGTAATCATCAAATTTAGAAAGACAAGTAATAGGAAATAGTCATTATTATATTTACCTCAAGATCTTTTATTGAGATATTATAGGAAGCAATCAATTGATCTATTAATCCTTCTAATCTAGTACTAAGTCCAGAAAGAGCTACAGCCGCTCCGGACATAGCAGCGCCCTGAGTGAGTAAAAGCTCTCTGCTTCTTCGTTCAACAGCGTTCAATTTTAGATTCATTGATAAATTCTCTTGTCTAAAAATAAGTAGAAAATCAATATAATTAAAAAACAGTTTATAATTTTAATATAAATATTGTAAAAAGTTCACGAGATATATACCTTCTTTGTTCGCTAATTCGTACTAAATGCTTACACTCCTCCGTTTGTCTTTCTAATTCCATCTCTCTTTGAGTTAAAATTTCCCCTTTCTTTTTAAGCTACAAAAGACAAATGTATATGAAATAAATTGTACATACATTGTATTTTAAGGAGCGAATTTATAGAACATACGTACTTCCAATTCAGCATCTTTAAGTGCATCCGCCAAGGTGGCTTTTTCTTCTTGAAGAAAATACTTGCATCTCGGCTGATTCGGCTTCTAATTCTTGTTGTTGCTGTAATAAGGACTTTCTGCGCGGCTAAACTTTTGTCTAAATCCTTCAAAAAAAAAAAAAAAAAAAAATAGTTATAAAAGTAATGTTTCTCGATAAAAAAAACTGTTACAGAGATAACTTTCATATTATAATCATGATTGTTGTAGCCATACTCTTACCCTGCTCAACATACGACAGAGAGATTGTAGATCAGCTATTTCGACTTGTTGATTAGCAACGACTTGTCCCGATGATTGTATATGACATTCGAGTTCGAGAAAACTGTCACTACCCTCTGAAAACAAATTTTATCGTTTTATTTTTTATAAATTTCTTTTTACAAGATATGTCTCGTGAATATGCAAGCAATATAAAGTTTGATTTATGAATTAAATAATCATTTATTTCTCTATTATATTATTTGTTAAGTTACCTGCGTGTTCCGATTGCGGTGTACCTAGCATAGCTAGTACCCGTTGCGCGTTTCTATCGAGTTCCTGACGTGCAAATGCATGATCGGCTCGTTCTTCTTCTAGTAGACGATTCACTTCGGCCAACTCGAGCTTCAATTTCTCGTTTTCTTCTCGTCGACTATTGTTTTCCTCATTCAAGCGTTTCAAGTTATCCTGCAAAGTCTGCATGTCGTCCCACGTCTCCTCCGTTTGGCAACCCTTGTGCAATCTTTCGATGACCTCAGGTCCGGTGATGGCGCTTGGTTGTCCGGACATCACGTTTTCAATATCCTGTCCTGTTAAACCAGTCTGCGCGCTAATCTCGTGATATATACGAGTTTTCTCAACCGTTCTTTGTCTAGGATACGGCGGCAAGCTTTTATGAACGGAAGACGAATCCTTCGCAATGATGTTTTTCTTTTCAATAGTTCTGTTTAGACTAACATCTCGACTTCCAGATCTACTTCTAATTGTCTTGTCTGTCTTCTCTCCGGCTTTCGAGATCGTCAGCTTATTTCTGTTTCTACGCGGCAACGTTGCGTATGTATCAAGTGCTTTGTTATCTTGACCAGCAAGTTTGTTATCAGCACGCGAGGCCGCACTTTTTGCACAGAGAACGCGAGGGGTTGACAAGGATGGTATTTTTGCTTTCGTTTCCTCAGACGGCGTGGACGCCGGTGTGCGTGTTCCGCGCGTGCTGGATGTAGTCCTCGATCTTGACGAATCACTCCTGATGACTCTTCCGCCACGTTGCGCAAGATCCTTGTTGATCTCCGTGGTCAGTGCGGATGGCAGCGAGTCTGGCAGCGGTCTTGTTCTCGTCCTTGTGGAAGATGTGGGAGTCGATATTAAATTGGATACTGTGCTGTTGTTGGATCGACAACCATATGTCGCTGTAGCACGATTACCAACAGGCGTCTTGGTGACCTCTGCGACAAGCGAGGAGCTCGATTCTCGAGCGCTCAATTTTTCTCTCGATCGTGGTCGGTGGTCCCTAGTAGCGCTTGGAGTTTTGGTTGTTATATTTCTAGGAGTCGCTGTTCGTGATTTGGACCGTGGAGTCGCCGTGCCTAAACTTGTGCCCGAGGTCGCGCTCGCTGGTTTTGCGCGAACGCTCTTCTGCGATTCGCTACCGCTCGTGATCTTTTTTTTAGTCGTGTTGGATGTTGTCGTATTTCTCTTCACATTCATACGGCTCGTTCGTACAGACACGCTGCCGGCGATAGATGAACTTTCGCTACCGCCCTCGCTCGTGCCTTCACCGCCGGTGGCACTCAGCCGTACGTCGTCTGGCAATGTGGATCCACATGCGTCCTCATATACCGAGCAACAACTAACAAGACTTGAATCACAGGAGGCCTCATCTAGACCGCCGCAACTACTCGTGTAGTCGACACTGTTCCTACTACGTACCTACAAGAATAATATGATTTGAATAAGTAATTATTTATAGATTCGTCTATTATGTATGGACATTTTTAGCAATTCGGCATAAAATTTGACTCATTATTATTTTAAGAAAAAATTTTTTTCATCGATAAAATTTCACACTATAACTCACTCTCGGAACTTCCGTCGCACAACCTTCGACTCCGCTATCGCTGCCGTCTTTGCTATCTTTATTCTCGGCCAGCGACTTTTCGTTTGCCTTGCTGTTCTGCGATTCGGTGATGTGGATGACAGTGATGTTGCATTCACTGTTCATAGTGAGATCTGGATCCTCTTCCCCATTGAGAGGCGAAGCGAGATCCTCTGGTACGCCCGAGTCCTGCCGAGCTACATTCAGCATCGGCGAAGATACCTTCAGACAATTTTCGGACTCGGGGTACGGAGTCTCCATTATGACGGTGTTGAGTGGATCAGTCATTTCGTTTTTATCATCTTGTCACTGAAAAAAACGAGTATAAATATGATATTAATCAATAAATTTTAATTTATATTATATTTTAAAAGTTGGGATTATATCGTTAGATAGATTTATTTCACAAGCTTCATAGAAACTAATGAGAAATAACATTTTTTATAGCAACACAAATATACTGATTCATTTCTGAAATCCGACAGCTGATTGCCGAATGTGGAATTAATCATGTTACGAAAGGTTTCCAAGAAATCCACTAAAAAATTCATCCAATACGGACGGTTTGCATAGTGAATCAAGGATAGAGATACAGACAAGAGCAATTAGCTTGCACGGCGCCAAGTCGATAAAGCTATTTCGTTTCGGAATCAAGTTACGGCCTCCCAATCACGATCATATTGAATTAGTCGAATGACATACGCTCCTCCGTGCAAAGGAAATCATTTCGAATGGTCCAGACACATGGTTTTTCCAATTTGTACCGAATCAAGAAATTTACTACCTAATAGACGATAATAAAAACTGAGTAACATTTAATTCTTATCAAATAACATATATTCAATTTAATTAATTAACTTTAAACAAAAAGAAAGAAAATTCTCTTTAT